CTGCTGCCCCCTAGTGGCCATTATACAGTATAGCCACCCCTTCCCCGCCCACCCTCTGCTGCCCCCTAGTGCCCATTATACAGTATAGCCGCCCCTCCCCCACCCACTCTCTCCTGCCCCCTAGTGCCCATTATACAGTATAGCCGTCCCTTCCCCACCTCACCCTCTGCTGCACTAGTGCCCGTTATACACTATAACTGCCTCTTCCCTACTCCCAGTCTCTGGGGTGTGGAACGACCTTGACCGATAACGGTTACTTACCAGTTTGATACAGAAAGTTGTTGGTGATTCCCCATGTCCAGTTATCGTAACAGGTCTTCAATTTTTCTATAAAGTTTGTGCGTCTAGTGACAAATCCTGGTGAGGGAAGAACAATCGTTGTGGCAACTGACGCAGAACACATGTGGGTGGAAATGTGGGGAGGAATCTGTGGACACATCCCGCCTTTCCTGCCCCTGCATTGTGTGTTCGTGTGGGTGGGGATGGGGATGGGCTTTCATTGATCCTACGGGGTCAGCAACCTTTCCAAAGAGCCAAGCCGAGCCTGAACTTATTTTCTTCTACTTCCTGATCTGCGCACCATTGATACTCGTTAAGGTTCATGATTGAGGAGCAACATGTACCTGGGAACAGGGCTGCTATGAGGGACCTTTCAGTCTGGAAAAGCGATGGGGATAGGATAGAGGTCTGTAAAATCATGAGTGGTGTGGAGAAAGTGAATAAGGAAAATTATTTAGAATCAGAGGATCAGAGAACACTAGGACTGGAAGGGACCTTGAGAGGCCATCAAGTCCAGTTCCCTGCCCTCATGGCAGGATCAAATCCTGTCTAGACCATCCCTGATAGACATTTATCTAACCTGCTCTTCAATATCTCCAGAGATGGGGATTCCACAACCTCCCTGGGCAATTTATTCCAGTGTTTCACCACCCTGATAGCCAGGAAGTTTTTCCATAGTCCAACCTAAACCTCCCTTGCTGCAGTTTAAGCCCATTGCTTCTTGTTCTATCCCCAGAGGCCAAGATGAAGAAGTTTTCTCCCTCCTCCTTTAGACACCGTATTTACTTTTTCCCATAACGTAAGAAAGAGGCATCACCCAATGACATGAATAGGTAGCAGGTTTAAAACAAACCAAAGGAAGATTTTCTTCATGGGCACCATGAGATCCTTTTTCTTTCCTGTTTGCTACAGCACACTGAGTGGAAGTTTTGCAGGACTAGCCAGAAGTTCTCCAAGGTCTCTTTCAGGCTGTGACTAGACTTCAGAGAGAAGTCAGAATAAGATATACCCATTGTGAACCACAATTTGCATATCTTTTCCCGCTTTTTTTCCAAAAGAGGCTTTTTAAAATTTCGCCCGTCCTCACTGAGAGTAATACAGGTTGCCAAAAGGATACGTCCACTTTTTTCTAAACTGTTCCAAAAATGTTGACTTGTTCCTTGGAAGTGGTAGAGCTTTTCTGGAAATAGCTCTGCAGTGAAGACATAGCCTTATTGTGGAGTTGGGATTGTGTATATATTCCCATCATATAAGGACTAGAGTACACCAAATTAAATTAATGGGCAGCAGGTTTAAAACTAATAAAAGAAAGTTCTTCTTCACACAGCGTGTAGTCAACCTATGGAACTCCTCACCAGAGGAGGCTGTGAAGGTGAGGACTATAAGGGTATGTCTAGACTACAGGGTTTTGTCGACAGAAGTTTTGTCAACAGATACTGTCGACAAAGCTTCTGTCGACAAAGAGCGTCTAGACTACATTCAGTTCTGTCGACAAAGCAAGCCGCTTTGCCGACATAACAGTGTGGACGCAAAGGACAGTTTTGATGCAATAATGCCTTCTATCGCCAGAACTCTGTCAACAAAAGGCGTTATTCCTCGTAAAATGAGGTTTACCAGCGTCAACAAAACTGCTGAGTTCTGTTGATGTTATGTCGACAGAACTCAGCGGTAGTGTAGACGCAGGTTTAGTTTTGTCAACTAAAGTCCACTTTTGTCGACAAAACCCTGTAGTCTAGACACACCCTAAGAGTTTAAAGAGAAGCTAGATAATTTCATGGAGGTTAGGTCCATAAAAGGCTATTAGCCAGGGGATAAAATGGTGTCCTTGGCCTCTGTTTGTCAGAGGCTGGAGAGGGATGGCAGGAGACAAATCGCTTGATCA